ATGGAAATTATAAGAAAGAATCAAATGGAACTCAAACAACTATCTATATGGGGGCAGGAAGGGAACACTGACCCTCTGCCAAACATCAGGCAAGAAATTAATGTGAGATGCATCATAGACCTAAAAATAAAAGCCAAAACTATACAGATCCTAGAAACAAACAATAATATCTTCATGATGTCAGACAATGATTTTATGGTACACAAGAAATATTGACCATTGAAGAAAAATTAATAATATTTATTTCATCAAAACATAAAAAAAAAAATCTGTACCTTGAAAACCACCATGAAGAAAGGAATAAACAAGCTACAAATTGGTTGAAAACATTAGGAATACAAATATTTTTACCAAGGATTGCATCCACAATATGCAAGGAATTTCTACATTCCAATAATGAAAGACAACTCAATTAAAAAAAAAAAAGGCTGTGCAAAAGACTTGAATAGGCAATTCAGAAAAGAAAATATGTAAGTGCTAATATGGACATGATGAAAGTGCTCCATATAATTAGTCATCACAGGAATAAAAATTAAAACTAAAAATAAGATCCTAGTATGCATACACTATAGAGTAGGGAAAAATTTAAAAAGACAATCCAAATATTGTTAAAAGTGGGGAGTAACTGAAACTCTTACACATTCCTCTTTGGAGTAAAAAATGGTACACCATTTTGGAAAACATCTTGGTGATTTGTTAATCATTTGTATAAATATACTGCTTCATGACCTAATAATTCCATTCTTAGAGTTTCACCAAAAGATATAAAACTTATTCCCACAAAAGACCTATACTTACAAAAGAGCTGAAATCTGGAAACAACCTAAGTGTTCAGCAATAGGAAAATAAATAATCGAATTGTGGTATATTCATACAATCGTATCTACTCACTGATAAAAGAAGAAACTACTGATATATTGGCTGATTCTGAAAAAACAAAACAAAACAAAAACCCACTATGCTGAGTGAAAGAAGCTTGACACAAAGAGAATATATGACAACATTTCATTCATATGAAATTCTGGAACAGAAAGAACCAATCTATGGTGACAGAATCAGAACAATAGATTTCTGTTTTATTCTATAGCTTAATAAATGTGTGGGTCTGTTGTAAATTGAATTGTGTCCCCCAAAAGATATATTACATCCTAAACTCCAATACCTGTCAATGTGACCTTGCTTGGAAAAGATACTTGTATTTTTAGTCAAGTTAAGATGAGGTCAGGCTAGAGTAGGGTGCGTACTAATCCTGTTTAACCAGTGTCTTTATGAGAAGAAGAGAGGACATACAAAAAGAATGACTTATGATGACAGATACCACATAACGATGGAAGTTTTTAGAGTCAACACCAAGGACTTCTGGTAACCACCAGGAGATAGGAAAAAACAAGGAAGTATCCTCCCCTAAAGCTGTCAGAGAATAGATCTACTGACAACCTTATTTCAGACTTCTGTGTTCCAGAACTGTGAGAGAATAATTATGTTTCTATTGTTTTTAACCCACTCAGTTTGCCATATTTTCTTATGTCAGCCCTAGGAAACTAATGCAGGTCACACAGGTGTATACATTTTTCAAAACTTACTAACATATATATATGTGTGTAATATATACATATATGTAATAGTAATATAAATATATTTGTTAGTAAGTATGCTTTTATTCACATAGAAATGTACATATATATGTTCATGCATTTTACAATGTATACACTATATCTCAACAGTGTTTCATAAAAAACTTTATGACAAGAAATTTGAAAATTATTTCAAATGAACAATTCTTAGAAAAATTGGGTAAGAGCTCCTTACCCAGAGTCATCAGGCACATTGCTTTCCTGCAATACTGGAAGCATCATTGGTTGAGATAAGGTTGAACTAGACGTTTATTGCTCTTCTGAACAATTCGATCCTGCTTTGACCTAGCCTAGACAACAGGAAGCCCAGCAACATGACAAAAAGATAAATACACAATGCATGTTAGGATATAATAAAATCAGCTTCATAAAGTCTCATATATTAAATTTAAGCATAAATATGTCCAACAATTGACTGCATCTCTGATTACATATGTGTTAGTCCATTTTGCATTGCTATAAAGGAATACGTCGGATTGGGTAATTTATGAAGAGAAGAGGTTTATTTGGCTCACAGTTCTACAGACTGTACAAGGAGCATAGCACCTTCTGATGGGGGTTTCAGAGAGTTTCCAGTTAAGGTGGAAGGGGAAGGGTAACAGGAGTCACATGATGAGAGAGAGAGCAAGATAGGGAAGGGGAGGTGCCAGGTTCTTTAAAACAATAAGCTCCCCTGTGAACTAATTAAGTGAGAACTCACTCATTACCACAGGAAGGGAACCAACCCTTTCATGAAGGGATCTCCCCCTCCCACTTGCGGATCTCCCACTTGGCCCACCTCCAACACTGAAGATCAAATTTCAACCTGAGATTTGGAGGGAACAAACATCCAAATTATATTAACATATTTTACTGTTTTCCATTGCAGAAAAGGAAAGCGATATATGTAAATGCAATATAATCAAAATTATTTTCTGATTTAAAATATTTATTTACTATCAATGCATTGCTAATTGCTTGCAATTTTGCCTTCTGTAATTATGCTAATATGGTGAATAAAATGTAGTCTGCAGTATTAATTTTTATATCTATTTTTCAAATGGCTGATTCTACATGCATTTATTTATGGCTTAGATGCATCTCATCTATTCTGAGTGCATAAATATTTTCTCGTTTGCTTATTTGCCTTTCCTTATTTAAATTTAATGAATTACAATTTCAACTCACTTAACCATATCCAGATACCACTCCACTTATATTTGTAATATTTTATATGACACACAATATAGCATTTTTGTTAATAAATTATCTTCCATATAATGGCATTTAGAATTATGCCAAGAAAAGTCTTACTGTATGTGTGTTTATAAAGTGATCTAATGCACTTCTATGCTATTGAAGTCAATGATATATCTTGTGAATCAATTAAGCTCGGCAATTTAGTGTATTTGAAGGAAGCAATGTAGTAGGAATGTTAAGGTTTTATATGTAAAATATCTATGATATATTTCAGGCAATTCAGGGTTAATGTATGCCTGAGTCCCTCAAAGGTAGATTCAAACATAGAGACTTCAAAACCCAGAAGAAGTCAAGTATATTGACACATTGTCCTCAAGTACGGCTTTTTAAACATCACCCACTAGTTGGGTTACTATGGCTCGTTTTACTATGGCACAATATAGAAAGGTTAGACTATGATCAGAAGAAAACATGCTCAGATGAACACAAGTTGTTGAAATAATGTTTTCAATATCAAATGTAATAACTAAGACCAAGGAAAATACATTGTCAATAGTTTCCACAATAATATAATTAAATTCTATAAGGAAAGGTCTTGATTTTTTAAAAGAAAAAAAGATAACAGATTATTAAAATACAACACACACTATTTTGAACTTGACTGCCCACAAATTTAACCTAGTTTTATCTTACTTAGTGTAGCCCTAGTTGAAGCTTTAGAAATTTTCTGTGTGGGCCTAAAAACATGTTTGTAATTTCAGAATATAAGAAAAATATGTATCTGGTTTTCAGAGAAATTATCTTGCCATTATCAGGGTTTTTAATTAATTTTTTCATCTTCTTTAATGCTCCTCAGAAGCTATGACAGTGGGAGGCGGTGTAATTTTCTGCAGCCCATGGGCTAGGATTGGGAGTAGTGCTGAAGTGGGGTTGGGGACCAAAGAAAGGGAAAGAAAGCTTAAGTCTAGTATACATTGGCCTATTTAATATGTGTCTATTAAGTGCCACTAGAAACCAGTTACAATTCTAAATTTGAGGATATTTTGTACTACAAAGGTGATCTCATATTTTGAGTTCCTGGGGAAGGGAGTCGTATATCTAATAAATAATGGTAATACATAAAGATGAATGAAAAGAAGTGTGCTTAAGTTGTGGTATAACTACATCCCTAACTGGGCTGAGTTGTATCTGATAAGAGTTTCTGATATAAATAGCAGAGAAGGCATCTTTCATGTCTTAATAGGAGGGGAAAATATACATCCATATGCCAGATTTTTTATGCCAAAATAAAGAAATTGATGTTATGGAAATGTCAATTTCTCACCCCTGTCTACTGCCCCAAATTTCTTCTTTCTTAGTTATTTTTCATCTACAGGGCCCAATTAGATTTTCTTGCTAAATCCTTCCTAGCCCTCAAATTAATTATTTTTCCAAATATGGGAGCTGGCTTTGTGGTTTAGATTGATTTGCAAAGTTGTCTAAAACATTGGAAATAGATTTCCAATTCCATTTTGTAATTACATGCATTTAATACCATGTGTCAATAAATCAAGAAATTTGTTTGGGAGATACATTAGGGAGCACTAGGAAAACTTTGTAATTTCAAGATTGACTATAAAATGGATTCCAATTCAGTTATAGTAAAGGGTGGAAAATATCAATATTAGAATCTATGAAATGTAGTGTAACTAAATGTTCACAATTGAATAATGCTTTGCGAGTACCCTGTGACGTAGCTAGTACTATTGTCTTCATTGCAGAAAGAAAGCCTAAGATTCATTCAGTTCACAAGTATAATATTTACTGAGCATCCAGCAGATGCCAGGTTTAATGACAAGTTCAGCCTGCAACAGAAAAAAAGCAATCATTGTCTCTTCGTGTGGATATGTGAAATGTTTTTAACGAGCTAAACCCACAGACTGTATCGGACATTCAGAGGTCACTTGTATGCTTAACCAACCCAACCCAGAACTAATCTACCAACAACCCAACCCAAAACTAATCTACCAAATTATACAGCCTCCTGAGAAAGATAATAATTTAAAAATATTAATTCAGATGTAAAACATATAGCAGAGAAAAATAAACTAAATAATATGTGCATTTCTATTTTTTCTTTAAAAAAACATACATGTTAATGGTTTCCTGCATACCAGTTTCATTTTTAAACCTTTCCTCTGACCATAGGAGCTGATGCTGTGGAAGCTCAGTGTAAAAGATTTGAAGTGAGAGCCAGTGAAGATGGCAGGGTGCTGTTTTCTGCAGATGAAGATGAGATTACCATTGGGGCTGAAAAGCTGAAAGTTACAGGTACTGTAGATTGAGGTCTTGGAACATTGTTTACTTCTTAAAACAATATGCAACTGCCCAGGAATCTACTTAATAAGATGGACAATTGCCAGACCTAAAATGAAGTCTCACATAATATCATGATGTCACAATATTTGGTTTTCAAATAGTCCTCACATGGAAGGCACTGGTTGCAGAAGAGAATGCCAATATTAGCGTCCTTAATGATTTAAAAGTAAAGCTGTGTCTCTCAGGTGGAGGTAGGTGAAGGAAAGCAGTATGGATGGGTTGTAGAAGGAAAGATGGAATGCAAATACTGAGAAAAGGTGACCAAAGGTGATAAATAAAATTTAGAGATATTAATTAAAAATAAAAGATTTGTGAAAGAAGAACTAAAATGGAAACATTAACTTTAGAATTCAGTAGGAGAAAGGTTATAATGTAATAAACTAAATCTGTGTTCTGTAGGATACATCATTATCCTCAAAAGTATGTAAATAAAGAAATAATGCTATATACATGCTATATATTTAAGTCAATGCTATATATTTAAGTTATTAACATCATTATTATAATATTAGGGTCATTAAAGTAAACAACCAACTGAAATTAAAAACAAACATCAACAAAAACTGAAAGAGTTAGAAGTGGGACTGGGAGTGTGGAAGAATTTGATGAAGACAATTTTAAGCATAATCTCTTCCAAACTGCTTGATTTGTAACCATGATACATATTATTTTGATAAAATATTTTAAAATCCTTTAAAAGTACCCAAGGAGGTTCACATTTAAAAGAAGAAGAAAATTATATATATATATATATATATATATATATATATATATATATATAATTTGTTTGACCTAGTATTTTGCAAACTTGAGTTTGGGAACAGGTCATGGGATCTCTGTGTGCCTACATGTGTGTTTAGTATGTTTTCAGTACATAATGTAGTGGTTATGTTAGCTCTTTATATTTACTAATAAAAATAATATTAATATTGCAAATGTCCCAGACACCAGGGCCTGTGTTGATTTCAAGAAAGGTGTATTATTAAATGGTGATGAAATTCAATAAGAATTGCTGAATGGGATGACTCATTGGGCGTCCTTGGGCTGGCATTCCACCAGCCCCGTCTCCACCACCACTGTCCCCATCCCTCCTTTCTCTTGTGAGAATGTCTTGCTGAGGGGCTGGAGCCTGCACCATTGGGGTAGGTGTATGCGGGGGTCCATAAATGACCATGGGTTTGATCTCCTTTTTCTTTTCTTTCTTTCTCTCTTTTTTTTTTTTTTTGTTTGAGACAGAGTCTCACTCTGTTACCCGGGCTAGAGTGCTGTGGTGTCAGCCTAGCTCACAGCAACCTCAAACTCCTAGGCTCAAGCAATCCTTCTGCCTCAGCCTCTCAAGTAGCTGGGACTACAGGCATGTGCCACCATGCCTAGCTAATATATATATATATATATATATATATATATATATATATATATATTTTTTTAAGTTGGCCAATTAAGTTCTTTCCATTTTTTTTTTTTTTTTTTTTTTTTTTTGGAGAGATGGGGTCTCGCTCTTGCTCAGGCTGGTCTCAGACTCCGAGCTCAAATGATCTTCCCACCCTGGCCTCCCAGAGTGCTAGGATTACAGGCATGAGCCACCACGCCCGGCCTGATCCCCTTTTTCTTAAGACTCCCTGGGCAGGGCAGGAAAGGAGACATGCATGGAGGACACAAGTTGATCTTCTTGAGTCCTGAGTTAGGGAAGCAGGGACAAAACAAACAAAAAAAGCATGAGAGTTTTGTTTGGCACAGAACACAGGCAAATCACAAAGGATTTTAGGCTCCTGAGCATTAAAATTTGAATTGCTGGTGAGTGGAAACTTGGGGATCTCTGGGGTAGAAATGCCTTCAGGATGATCGAGCAATATTAATAATCTTCGAACCCTGGCAATGCCTACTTATTGTCACCCTTGAGACCAACATAATCCTGAGATAGCTTTTAGGATATTACACATTTATCCATAATCTCTTTAATCCATAATCAGATATTCCTATTGAGTACTTTCTAGTCATAAGTAAAGGAAGGTTCTAGAATTCTTGGCGGCTTTTCTTGTCTCACGGAATTTTAACTTCTTCTAATCTTTGTATTATCTTGACCGGTCTCATAATATAATAGTTCCCGTAAAGTGCTGTCTTCACAAAATTAGACTCATTGATTGACTTTTTTATTTTTCTTTGCAGTAGGTGGATAGTCAGCTTCTTTTTCTCTTTTGCTGAGTAGCCTAGAAGCCATCCTTGAACTATTAATTGGACTAAGTCAAGTAAGAAAGTGCTTCCTAAAACAAAATCTAAGTTTTTCTGCTTTTCAATTAAGTGCCTTAGGGCAGTCACCTATACTAACACTCTGTCTCTTTCTATTCTCTCTCCCTCCCCCCTTATCCCCCCCCTTAGCCACTCCATGTGTGTAGTGTATATGTGTGTGATGTATGTATGGTATACATGTATGCATAGATGGTAAATTAATATGTCTCATGCTAGCTTTTTTTTTTACTTATTTTTGTCTCATGTGCACATAGCCTTGCATTTATCTTTCATAACGCCTTGATTGATCTATATGTCCCAATTATTTCAGACACTCCTAATTAATTTGTTTTACAATAGAAGTCTGTATCATATGACTTCAGAAGATCTTAAATAATAAAGTAATAAAATTTTGGGCCATAATTGCAGAATCTAAGCAGGTTTTTGTAAGAGGTTGAAGCTAAACACTTAGGATGAAAGAAATTCCAGAGGACTATGACAGCATGTGTAGCAAAAACAATGCTGACTTTTAACCAGATGTAGATTTATAAGAGGCTCTGCAATATTAATAAAGAAATGCTAAATTTGAGATTAGTTTGATTAGAATTCCATCCACTCACATGTTTGTTTCTCACAAAAAAGCCCGTACACCCACAGACACGCACAGAGACACGAACATAAACACAAATGCACACACACTAAAATTCCTGCCAGGTCTTTACTCCTTCACCAGAATACTAGATATTAACTTTATAGTAGCTTTATTTCTTTCCATGATTCTTCCTTTATTTTGCCTAAAATGAAGGAAAATAAAGATAGTGAAAGCAAATATATTTTAAATTCCATGTGCTTCGAGCAAAAAAAAAAAAAAAAATTCGCATAGTGTAGCATGCAGTTTTAGGGCATTGAGATTGATTAGCAACCTCACATACACTTTAAAGTAGTGATTGAATCACTTAATAAATAACACTACAAAGAGACACTGACTCCAGGATACTTCATATAAATTAGGTATCTGGGCCTACAAGACTTCAAAGTTACCTGTGACAAGAGATCTGTGTGAAGTTTACTCTAGAATTTTAAATTTGTGGCATGAACATTTAATATTTAAGCAATGTTCATAAGAATTAAAATTGAAATGGATCCCTCTAGCTTGAAACATTATGAACAATGGCATCTTATAAACAGACTTTTATTGCAGGGTGACAGAAGTGGATGCAATTATTTAGACAATGGATGTGTCTATGTACCTAAGGTGAAATCATTTATGACTGAAATCATTCATAAATCTAGAGTAACTCAGCATATTTTTATTTATTCTGTCTGCAAAGAAGCAAGAATTTTCCTGATACATTCAGATACTTCTAGGATGCAAGAGGATAGAAGTAAAATGATAAATACCTAAACAACACCACCTGTCAATACCCCATCACCATAATGAGTAATCATATGCTTAAAATTTGTGATTTGTTAACTTTTGATATTACTTTTCATATTCAAAAATAGCTTGCTTAAATCTTAATCTAAACATGCTTATTTGAGTTTATATGCTCTCTCCAAATAAGTGAATGTATAGGAGGTTTATATTTTAGCTCATCTATGAACACCTAAAAACTGTTTTCCTTTTGTATTCTCTACTATTAGCCAATTATATTACTTAATGTAATTATCTTTTGAGACCTAGTAAACAAATAAATGGAAAAAACCATTACACACAGAAGACTCTTAAATTTAGTGCTTTCAGGCAGAATCTATCAACTGCAATCTGCAGTTAATTCCATTTGTATTACAAGAAGTATATTAACTTTAAAAAACAAAGTGGAAGCATAAATCTCCCAACTTTTTAAAGTGAAAGACTTTCGCCCTGTTGGACACCTTCAAGTTAAATTAAAGCTATTAGTTTGACTTAAACCTATTTTGCCTAAGAGAGAAAAGGGGAAAAGCTAAATGTATAAAGAGAAATGATATCTCTTTTTTTTTCAGACAGTAGCAATTAAAACTGCCAACCTGAAAGAATAGTGAAAACCAACCCTGCATCCACTCCCGTGCTCTAATGTTTGTTTGAATGCCAAGAGTATTACTCCTTTGTTTCTGTTCTAATTGAATGATTGGAAGGATAGACAAGTTCCAATGCTTGTTTGACAACAGAATGAAGGATTTTCTGAAGAGCTGTCTTTTAAATTAAACACGGTGCTTCTAGGTTAAAATCAATATTTTCTGGTTTGTTTTTATTAGCTTGTCTTCTACATCCTTGTTCTTGTCTATTAAATTGGCACCTGCGATGGGGTCAGCTCTGAAGTCAACCTTTCTATTAGGTAGACCGTTGTTCCTCTGAGCTGTCCAAATGCCAAGAATGTCGTAATACTCAGGCAACGGGGTAGAGCTGCTTTGTCTGAATAGCCCCCGAAGAAATGTGATTAGATTAGATCCAGAGAAAAGTGAAGTGCAATCATTTAATTTTCTCTGGTGAAACATTTCAAGTTTGTAGACTTGAATCAGCCATTCAACTCAGTTTTCTAATTGCTCTTTAAACTGACCTAGGGTAAAGATTTCAGAGACACTAAAGATTAGTACCACTCCACCCCCCTCAAATCTCCAGGCAAAAACTGATTTCAGATTTTGAAGTACATAAATAATAAACTATGTCATCTTCACAAAATAAGTTTTTTCCTCTGGGCACCTTCCTGGCAGTCCTCTCCATGACTTATTTTATTTTTCCAAGCTTA